TGTATTCCCCTATACTTCATCTTTTTTCCATCCCGCCTACATTATTAGTGTTATTATTTCTGTATACCTTTTTTTTTTTTTTTTTTTTTTTTTTTCTCCCCCCCCTCTCCCCATGGTGATTGATGTCTGTTATTGTTACGCTGTTGTTTTTGTACCCCCCCTGTTTTTCTCCTTTTCCACGGTACTGGTGAGTTCGGAGCGGCCACAATCTTTACTCTTGAATGTAATGTAAAATAAAGTTGTCCTCCGAAGAGGGGGGGTGGTGGTGGGCATTAAAAAAATAAATAAATAAATAAATAAATAAAGCGAAGAATTCCCACAGGGAAATGATTCGACTCACCTTCCACAGTATGTATTAAATACACAATATATATAATATTATGTAAAATGCTGGAATGTTGCATACAGAGAACAAATTGGATTCATTTAGAAACTGTTTTTATAAATGTTGAGGCTGCCCTTACTATGCTCAGAGAAACAACAGAGTCTGAAATATTTGCACGATTTGAACTATTTAAGTCCATATTTTAAGCGTATTTTTCTTTTCACGGAGGCACATAAGAAAAATTCGGATTCCAAACACACATTTAACATTTTATTGTCCAAAATCATATCAGCAGACTTAACAATAGTTTAAAACATTCTCTTAAACAAAAATATAACAAATATTTACATCCACTGATAAAAATACAAAAAAAGGCATACAAGCAAGTTGTCTTTCTAAAAGACATAAGTTACGACAGCTATCAAAATTCCAGGACAAAAACGCGACAGAGCGGATAATACTTCTGTGACAGACGTGTGCAGTACAATTGCTACTGGCAGGGTTTACACTTGTGCAGTTCTGCTTTACATAAAACTTCACATCTCACTTATTGCATTCCAGGTAATATAGGAGAGACCAGAGACTTGAGATTAGCGATTTAGCGAGTAGCGCGGGAGTTACCGAAAAAATTGCCTAAATAGCCGTTCAGTGTTTGTCAGGAGCCACGTCAAGTGAAAACGGCCTTTGCGGCATGTTGATGCATATGGTGAGGAGCCCGTACCGCCTCCGTGGGGGGGTTGCAGCGATAAATTCATCCAAAAATTAACTCCAGTAAATTGGTCCATCGCTTTAACATGCACGGTGAAAAATAAATCATCCTCACTGAATACTGAAAGCCGTGGTTGTAAAATCGATAAATGGGGGGGGGGGGGGGTGCTGGGTCACCCGTCACATCCCAACGCAGAGACCGCTCTCCCTTGAGCTCGACTGGAAAGCAGGAAACATGCCTGATCAATATGATCGGCTCACCCGATTATGAACCACAGCAGGGACATGCAGCCGCGAGCCTGAACATACTGCTAGCTGAGCACATATCGAATGAAGGGCGCGTGATCGTCAGCCGGCATCGTCCATCAGCACATGACAGTTTCGTGGACAGTTCCTTCAAATATTTACAGATTTACACTTCTTTAAATAAGAAAATATAGAGATCGGGAAAACGTCCACATATATATTTACGATTGATTCTCTTCTGAGTTTACGGCAGAAGGTGATACTGAATACTGCTTTGTTTTACTGGGGAATGTGCAAAAATTTACTTGGTCACGGTGACAGACCAGGGCAAAGTTTTTCCAATGTAGAAACAAACAGGTTAGCGAGGAAAGCACAGAGGTGTCAGGGGTCAGTCAGAAGTAGGCATTGGAGGTGTTGGAAGTGGCAAATTCAAAGGCCGCAGTATTATTAGAGGAGGCACAAGCTCGGTCTCACTGCCAGCCAAATTTTGCTCATGCCTGTAAATGGGTGCCCATCTGTTTCTAGTCATTTGACCATCAACACCACTAGAGGGCAGCAGAATTGGGCCAGTGGGGTACATCATCACCCAGGTGAACGCAGAATGCGTCAGTCTGCACATACTTAATCACCTAAACAGACAAAACACTAAAAGCCTGCCCTTACAGCAGAAAAGGGGAATGAAAACCTTTCATTCTAACAAAAATATTAAAACTAGTCTTTATAGAAAGCTCTAGCTCGAACTATACACGTTCTGTAACATTAATTTATAACAAAACCAAAAATATATGTATATATTTGTATATGTATATATTACCATTAACATCTTCAAGTTCTGTATACCAAAAGATACAATATCAACAATGGGTCCAAATGAAAAAGGAGAAGACAATCCAGTTATATCCAGAAACATAATGCAGTTCCATCATTGTCCCTAGAGGGCGAGAGATTGGCAAAAATATACAAATAATAAATGCAATATTAATAGCATTAGGTTGCATTTTAAAAAAAGTAATTAAAATATCTTACAAAATGTCTTCGAGGTGTACGCTAAACATGGACTGGAGATGGAAAAAAAAAAAGGGAATTATTTATATTTTCCTGTCATCTAACGTTTCTTCATCTATGTACATCAACAACATAAAGCAGGCTTTTAAAATGATAGGCAATGTGGTAAGTGAGGTACACTGCAGACCCGAGGCTGCATCCACGCACGTTAATGCACATTTACCAGTCGAGTCGTTAGTTTACAGCACAATAAGCGGCATTTGAACCCTGACATTGTAAACTGGGATATCTGCTGTAAACGTTTCTAGTTTTTAGGTGTTTGCTGCGCGACGAGTCTTAAAGCTTGAGACGTGTACATCTGGCTGGTATCTCTACATCCTGTCCAGCTGAATCACAAGCAGGCCCCCGTGTTTCCGCCATTTGCATGGTTAACAAGGGGCACCGTTATCAGCAAAAGGCGACAGATGTACACCGGAGGTCCTGCGCCCTTAACCCAAGATATTAACGTAAACTGCCATAATTTAGCTTAAAGACATAAATATAAAAAAAATTGGCCATTTGATAAATCTCACTGGTTATGTAATACCTTGGTTATATGGTTCAAAAGCACATATTAAAGCATACCCACGTGAAGACTTGGAATCACGACATAAATTAAACTGCGGAAAGACTCTTCTTTCCTAGAGAAGATGCGGAGGTCCGACGAGAGTCGGACTGGTGCGACCCGTCGAAGCGGCGCCGGAACGCAGCTCCAGTCGAATAGCGAAGGCACCCTGGGTCCCACTCACTCTTACATCAGCGATGGCCGGTCGCCGTGGTAATGACGGCTTACAGGCGTGATATTTCCCTCATGACGTCGTGGAGCTCTCGGTGCCACGCGGTCCAGAGCAGCCAAGGGGGGGCCCGGTGAGAGACAGAGAGAGGGGTGTGTTGGCGGCATCGGGGGGCCCAGGGGCCGGGCCCGTCATGTGCGTCTGGGTCCCGCTACCTAAACGGCCGACACCTGCTCCTCTGAAAGGCAAGAGGGGAGAGACGGGGGTGGGGGCGTCACTACAGACGTCCCATGCCTGCTGGATTCCCCAACTGCATCACTGGATTCCCCAACTGCATCACTGGATTCCCCAACTGCATCACTGTTCTGAATGTAGTGCAACAAACACAACCCTGCCCCCCACCCCAGGCAGCAGACAGGAAACGTGTCTGCAGAGGGGTAGCCAAACCCACACCCCTCCCACGCCCTCTCAGCACAGTCCTGCTGATTCACTGACAGCCGTCTGGCTCACGGCACGTACCATCTTCCTCGGGGGCCGCAGCGGCCGGGCTGGTGCGCCCCTTGTGCTCATGCGGCATGGTACCTCCCGGACTCTGGAGCAGCTTTGACCTCTGCAGGGCCACGCAATAGTCGGGGGGCTTTAGATGGGGATTCCGGGCGGCTCCTTCGGGGAAGGAGATGCCCTGGTACCCTGGGGGGGTGGGGGGCGGACCCCTGCTGGGCGAGGTAACGCAGTACACTGGGGGGCAGGGTGAACATCAAAGCAGATATTAAAAATATGCAGAAAAGCAGGTGCACACAAAAACATCTGAGTTTGGCGCCACCTACTGGGCGACAGGATTATTTATACATATACATTTATTTACTTGCTGGACTCTTTTGTCCAAAGTAAACTACAAGTGAGGCAAATACCACATTGTAAACAACTGTGCTGTAAAGGGAGCGACTCAGCATAAGTGCCGCTAGGTTGAGTTTCCACTGAACGCCCAGGTACAAACGGGAGCAGTTAGGCAGGGCTATTCAACTCACGGTCCTCGAGGTCCGAGCCCTGCTGGTTGTCCAGCCTTCCTTCACCTGTGAGCCAGGTGTGAAGCCTCTGACCAATCAGAATCGGTAATTATTAAACTAACTACCTGGGAGACCTGAAAACACGGCCTGGACTTGGAATTGAGGGCCTGAATTGAGTAGCCCTGCAGTAAGGTGTGCGTCTCAAAGGAGAGCAAGAGAGTAAAGGCGACATGAAGCACTGTGATATACCTGCACTTCGGCAAATAGAAAGATCATATCGTGCAAGAGCTATGCATTATTGCCCAGATATAGCAAGTCAACAGAGTGCAACACGTAAAGGAAACTTTAACCACGTAAAGGTGGCCCCAGGCCGCAAAGCCACGTGTCTCACCTATGAGTCCCTTCTCTGTGCTGGAGGTGACGGTTTTGTAGGTGGTGTCGCTGCCCAGGGTCCCATCGGGACACACTCCCGGTATCATGAGTTTGTCCGGCACCCTGCGCTTCACTGTGCTGTAGTCGCACGACTCCGAGAGGGAGCTGCAGGAGGCCCAGCTTTCCCGGGACCGGCTGGTCTCCGTGGCGACGCCGGGGCCCCCCTCGCCGGCCTCCCGGGGCCCGCAGGCATCTGCCTCGGCCACGGGTCTGCCCAGGGCTTGGTTCCGCAGGCCGCCCACGTCCCAGGCCCGTTGGGGTTGGAGGTTCTGGAAGTTATCGTGGGAGCTGCTGGAGCAGGAGGTCCAGCTGCCCCGGCCGCTGTCCGCTGGGTCCAGGCCCGTGGGGTCGGGGGTGAGCTCCTCACCGCCAGCGGGGAAGGGAAAGGTGGATGCGCGGGTCACGCAGGCCCGCAGCGCCGACGAACTGCGGACGAGCACGCACAGGCAGCTGAGAACAACTCCACCGCGGCCCGCGAGCGACAAGATCAGCTGACAGGTTTTAATTAAAATTACACAGCTTTGGGGGGGGGGGGGTTTACAGTGGTGTGTTATAGTGCCACAATAAACACACTGATTCAGTGAAAGGATTTTACAGACTGCACCACTATTTATGTGATTAAAATCAACCAAATGAGTATTATGGATATTTAAAATAAGATAATAAGAAAAACACAATACAAATGCAAATCTTTTAATGACAAGCCATAGTAATAAACATTAATTTAATAAGTTGAAATGGTGTAAAAGAAGTTCCTGTGAGTGTGGACATGTAAACAGTGTAATTAAAAGCCCTCATCAGGCCAGTGGGAGGGAGGGTGAGATGTCACACTGGGAATTATGGGAAACCCAAGGTGACACTCCAGCCTGGGGCGGACGTACCTGGGGTGAGGCAGGACGCCTTCGGCAGCGGGCTGCGGGGCGGCAGCGGGCAGCGTGGTGGCAGCGGGCGTGGCATCCGCCGCGGCGAGGGGGCGGGCACTGGGGCAGCGCTCCTCGGCCACAGCCGCTGCCACAGAGTCCACAGAGCCGTTGCTGATGAGGCTGGAGCGGGAGGAGATCTCACTGTGGCTGGAGTCAGAGTGTGTGTCCGACTTCCCCGCCGGCATCAGAGCGTACACTGTGGGATGAAAGAAATGGGCGTGTCTTAAAGGGAATGCCTGAGTATTAAAGGGACGGGCTGGATCTTAAAGCAACACCCTCTGCAAACAACTCTGTGTGTACTAAAGACTCTGACTACAGAACATTCAATAAACCTGCAATACAAAAACTTTATTTCAATACGATAAAAAAACCAAAACAACTCTGTGTGGCACCTTCCCCTATATACAATTTACTGTTCATACACGAGTTTCACATACAACAAGGACTGCACTTCTCTTCAGGGATGGGGGCTTCAGGGCGATATTGCGATAATGACAAACAAACATCAAGGTACATATCAGCAACAACTACAGTTCCGTTAGAATGGGGTCTGTTGGTCTGTCTGTCTCACAGTGTTTTTCTCCTCCAGTCCCTGGCTTGACAGTATAGCCATTTAAAAGGGGAGGGGCTTCTGCACGACACTTCCTGTTCTGTGGCAACTTCCTCTGCCTCCCTGCCTCCGGAGCTCCGCGCCTCTGCCTCCCTGCGTCCGGAGCTCCGCGCCTCTGCCTCCCTGCCTCCGGAGCACCGCGCCTCTGCCTCCCTGCCTCCGGAGCACCGCGCCTCTGCCTCCCTGCCTCCGGAGCTCCGCGCCTCTGCCTCCCTGCCTCCGGAGCTCCGCGCCTCTGCCTCCCTGCCTCCGGAGCTCCGCGCCTCCTGCCTGCCTCTGGACCTCTGTGCCTCCTGCCTGCCTCTGGACATGCTCTGCTTCCTGACTGCTCTGAAGGGCGAGCTCAGACTCCTCAGGACCCGACGCCTAGGGGTGCGAGTCCCTGACGAGTGGGCCGGCACCGGCTCTGCCCCGGGCCCCTCCTCCTCAGCTCTCCCACTGTGGTGGCCTGTGATCTGCTGGATGCGCCGCTGCAGCTGGGCCCCACCTATTCCATAACTGCGCTGGCTGCCGGCCCCCCGGGTGCCAGCCTCGCTGGTCAGGGATGAGGACGAGCCTGACAGGTTCACTGGGCTGGAGCTGTGCGACTTGGGGGCACCACCTGCTGGGAGCATAGAGAAGGAGATGCACCGCGGCCATAATACACCACTGCTATGCCGGCTTTGTTTACAAGTGAGATGCTCCATGGCAATCACATACGGAACGTGTACCTTTTTCTTTTAAATTCTGCAGCAAAAACCCCACAAATTAGCTGTTATTATGCGGCTTTGATACATTTTAATTTGCATTGTAACCTGGGAGACTCATATCTAAATGGACCCATCGATGAAATAAGTAAGCCAACAAAGGGATTTGAACCCACGACCATCTGATCACAGACACAGCATCTTAACCTACTGAGCCATATCTAATAACGTGGGAGTATGGTGTCTGGTGGGGGCTGACCTTTGCGGGGGGAGCCCTGAGGGGACACGGTCGGGGTGGAGTGCAGGGAGGAGGTGATGGACACTGTGTCCTCGCTGGCACCAGGCTTCCTTGTGGGCCAGTCCTCAACTGAGCTGGTTGTCTTCTTCAATACCTGCGGAGAACCTGGGGACGAGGGGGGGTGGACAACCATTGGTTAACTAATCTGCCACCATTCAGCAGGGAGTGATGGGGGGAGGGGGGGGAGTCAATAAATCCTGAAGGGGCCCCAAAAAGAAAAACTTCCCCATGAGGAAGACCTGCTCTACATGACTCTTCTTAAAACTCAATTTCTGATTGCATTTTTCCATCAATGTCTAGGTATGTCGTGTTTCAAACTGTCAGATTGTGAGTGTTTAGATGTCTTCTGTATTCATATTTATATCCCGTTTGTCACCATTTCTTGCAGCGCGGCCGACAAGATCGTAATTCCGGCTCAGCGTACGGCCCATCGATCACACAGCTGAAGATGACAATAAGGATACTTGGACGTCTGAGTCTACAGCTAGACACCGCTGATTCATTCAGGTTTCCTAGACATGCGGCAGAGCATCCTGGGGTTTAGGTTAGAGCTGGCGGCAGTCGCTCGGACAGAAAGGCAGCTCTGTGTTAATGGCATGCAGGAGGTGAGGGGAGGTGAGGGAAGGCGAGGCCGGCAGCTCACCATGGACGGCCAGGTCCTTGGCTATGCTTTTCTTCCGCAGGGGGTTCAGGCTGACGGGGGGAATCTGCAGCACCTGGCTCATCCTATTCTGGGGGGGGGGCTTCCCCGACGGCAGCGAGGAGCGCAGCAGCACCGGAGACATGTCCAATTTGGTCGACCGCCGCTCACTCACGTTCTTAGTCACTGCGGCGTCGAAAGAGGAAATAATTAATCTTGTGCCCAAAGCTGCTGGATTCCTATGTTCCCACTGAAGACAATCAAAGAATAGAGCTGCCATAAATAGTCTAACAGCGAATTAAATGTGTGGCTGCAAAAAGTGGAAAAAGCAGATGATTTTGGGTGAGATTAGTTTGAGGGTAGTTTGAAGTATTAAGAACTCATGCATTTATTTCAAAAACAACGGCCACCAGGGGGCACTGTGAGTCAGTGAATGCCCAAAATCATGTTCAGACCACAACAAACCTCATATTCATGACAGATAGCAGCCCCCCCAGATTTAAGCATGGAAAGCCTGCTGGGGAACTACTGATGAATTTTAGTGCAACACTCATGAGATTACACAGGGACACAGAACTACAGGTTAGGGCCATGCGGGCATGAGGGGCACAGAACTACAGGTTAGGGCTATGTGGGCATGAAGGGCACAGAACTACAGGTTAGGGCTATGTGGGCATGAAGGGCACAGAACTACAGGTTAGGGCCATGCGGGCATGAGGGGCACAGACCTACAGGTTAGGGCCATTTGGGCACAGGATAATGCTGCTACAGGGAGGAGCAAACGAATTGGTCAGGGGGCGGGGCAGCAGGAGTCCTTACGGTTGTTGCAGGCCGGCTCACACTGGAACGACATGATATGGAACTTCTCCTCGTCCGTCTCCACCTGCAAGTTGGACAGGTACTGCTTGACCTTGCGGGCCATCTGCGCCTCCTCATAGAGCTTCTTGGCGTTTAGCAGCGAGCTGCGCCGCACGCGTTTCTTGTGCGCGGCCCCCTGGACGTCTAGCATGTTGGAATTGGTGCTGCCCTGGCTTAGGGATCTAGGGAGAAGGGAGCCGGTGTTACACGACAGCACAGCAGTGCGGCGGTGCTGGTCCACATGCCACTTTGCGATTAGCACTCCTCACTTTCCTGGATGCTGCGATGGGAGCGGGCGTGCCGTTAGCGCGGCAAGGCTCACATTTGTCTCACACATCCCGTCACTTTTTTCACGACTGCTCCAGCTTAGCGTAGCACGTTCACAACAACCATGCAAGAAGGATGCCTTTCACAACAGACGTGCCATGCCGGAGAGATTAAAAACTAAAACGATGACTTTGCGGATGCAAAGGATGTGAAATGACGGATCAAAATGGGAGGAATAACGCAAATCCACGTAGCAGGCTGTGTCGCGGATCCGGGCGCTCCGGGAGAGCGGGTGTTAATGGTTGGTGGGGGGAGCATGCTGTTTCACGTCGATGATAGAGGAGGGAGATGCACGGCGACACATGGAATTTTATGGCTAGCAGACTTACCCTAAGCTTTTCCACCTCTTCTTCCTGCAAGCGAGAGCCGTGGACATTGAGGCGAGGTTTACAGGCCGACAGTTTTGGGAGGGGGGCAGGGGAGTGTGTATGTGTGTGTGTGTATGTGTGTGTGTGTGTGTGTGTGTGTGTGTGTGCAGTGCTGCTAGAGGACTTCCTATGCTCATGAAATTTTACTTCCTATTTAACACGTGATAAGGTTTCTCTGAACCCGGAGCTCCGATAAGACATCAAGCGAGAAATCACCCCTTAGACACAAAAACAATGAAGTCTCAGGACAGACATTGGGACGGGACCCTCTCTGCATGTCGCATTTATTTTCATGGGGGGGAGGGAGCCGTTAGCGTTGCAAGGGGGCGACGGATGGAGACGCACCTCTGCCGGAACATGAGGGCGGGGTCCATGTTGGCCGAGGTCATTCGCACCACGTTCCGCACCTCCTTGGCGATCATGCGCAGTTTCTCAAAGTTCACCAGGCCGTCCACATTGGAGTCGTTGCCTGGAGAGCCGGGGGGATGAAGGAAGACGTCGGTACTGTCTTAGCGAGAGGGATGAGGCGTGCTGAGAGCTGAAAGGCTCCGGGGGATTGGCTGCTGGCGCATGCCCACCCCCCTCTGGCCGCTAATTACTGAAGGCCCGGGAGCGGCGTTGGACCCCAGCCCGCTCGGACAGATAGCTGAGGGTGCGTTCCTCAGCGGCTCCACTCCTAATGAGAACGCCATCGATTTATTTTCTTATTATTCATTATTATCACGCTGCGAACCGGCCAAGCATGGCGGGATGGGCGAAGTGACAGATCAGCCGCCAGTAACACCGCCAGCAGAAATGTAATCGACGATAATGGCAGCAGTTAGCATAAGCATTAGCGTAATGACCAGCATTATTTATTCAAAACATTCGCGGGTAGTAGCACAGCTAGCTGGGCCATAATCAATTTTCCTGATTGTCCAGATAAATTTAAGCCCTCTAGACCCAAGATGCATGGAATTTTACCAATGTCTTGAACACTAAGTACTTAATTCACTTGTAAAATCATCACTATGGGTTTGACCAGGTTTTTACGAGAAGCACAAAAGGAACCACTTGACCTTTGCTCCACAGAAGTGGGAAATGAGACCTTGTGAGAACTGGGTATTATGAACTGATACTGGTGTGGTCTTTAGTGTAAATTACGCTGTATGGTCTGATACTGTCGTGATATTTTATCTGTCCAGTACAATGTATGATCCAGAAGATCAAACAGTGCATTACACTACATAATCTATAATCAACATGGTTTTTAAATCGTGCATTAACCCTGCACAATCCGATACCAGAGTGGTCTTTAAATGACGCGTTAACCCTGCACGATCCGATACCAGCGTGGTCTTTAAATGGCGCGTTAACCCTGCACGATCCGATACCAGCGTGGTCTTTAAATGGCGCGTTAACCCTGCACGATCCGATACCAGCGTGGTCTTTAAATGGCGCGTTAACCCTGCACGATCCGATACCAGTGTGGTCTTTAAATGGCGCGCTAACCCTGCACTATCCGATACCAGCGTGGTCTTTAAATGGCGTGTTAACCCTGCACGATCCGATACCAGCGTGGTCTTTATAATTGCACATTAACCCTGCATGATCCGATACCAGCATGCTCTTTATATCGTGCATTAACCCTGCATGATCAGAAACTGGTGTGGTCCTCACCATTGCTTCACACCGCACCGGATCACAGAGGCCCACTGAAGGACTCACCTTCATGCAGGAAGGTCAGGTCCTTCTTCACCACGGGGATGAGGGGGATGATGGGAGGCTGCACGCTCTGGCTGCTCAGCACGTTCCGGTACTTGGCCATGTTCCTGGATGGGTCGAAGACGTCCTGGAGGTCCCGGAACAGCTTCTCGTACTTTCCCGGCAGCTTCTCCCAAGATCCGCGTAGGCGGTACACCGGTGCCAGGTTGAGCCCGCTGCAGCAGAGCCCACGGTTAACGGTCAGAGGCCAACACGTGTTTACAAACACGGCAAAAAGATGGAACGCCTACGTGCAGGGCAGCGGCCTGGCACATCTCATAAACATACGTAACACTTACTGCCAAATCTTTTGTGATGAACGATGTGTCAGTGCAGCTAAAAACACATCAATAGTACATTTTCAGATAACCCTCTATTAACAAAAGGGCCCTACAGGGAAGAGTCATATCCGCAAACCAGCCAGACTCACTCTTCTCTCTCGTGAGCCACAGCAATCAGCCGGGAACAAAAGCCAGCTAAAGGATCTTGACTCAAATGCACAACCTGCCTGTGACATAAGCAGCTGGCCGCCAGCTGTAAATGTTAATCACCGCAGACTGACGTTAAGCGATTATCCGACCGCCGAGACGGCCGACCGCCAGCCCTGACAAAACAGGGGAACTGCAGCGTTCTCAAGCCACGAGACGGGAGGCTTGAATAAATTCAAGTTCCACTGTGAGTGCACACTCCTCTGCTTCCTTTTCCCAACCCATATGACACAACATGCATTGAGAACAGTGCAGCACAAACTAATTAAAAACACATTATTACTCTGTATTTATGCGTATGACACAGAGCAGTGCAATTCAGTGGAGTGCGTTACGAAACCTGGCACTAATCAGAATTATTATTCTGCAAAACTATCATGGTGGCTTAGCAGATGGCACCATACCCTCACACCACCAGGGCTGGGGGGTACAATCTCACCCCCACTACGCGTGTGAAGTTTGCATGTTCTCTCCATGTCAGGCAGGTTTACTCTAGCTACTGCAGTTTCCTCCAAGTCAAAATATGTAGTTTGGTATCTCTGGTAGTATGCCTTGTGTTGTACTGGGATCCCTTCCAGGGTGTCCCTTGTCTCCTGCCCTATCGTCATAGCGACCCTGTATCAGTGCTGTTGTTCCATAAATTGTTAGACTGTGAATTAGCGCAGTACCTGATGATGGCGAACATCGAGTTAAAGTTCTTGCATTCGCGACAATGCAGGGCGATCTTTATGAAGTGTTTCAGTGTCTTCATCCTCTTCAGCGTGTTGGGCTCTCTCAGGATCTCCGTGGCCACCCAGAAGGTCTCCTGGTTGATGATGTCCTCGAACTGCTTGAGGTGGCTGCTGCTGGCAGCACCCGAGGGGTCCAGCTTGAAGAGGTCCTCCACGTACTCGGTGGACTCGACGTTGCGGAAGAGCTCAAAGTCGCGCATGGAGAGCTGGGCGGCCACCTCCATGGTGCTCAGCTGCAGCAAGCTGATCTGGCTCTCCCTCAGCAGCTCCTGGGCATCGTCATCTGAACAGAGCGTCTCTGTGTCCATATTGTTCTTCAGGTAGTACCTGGTAGGAGCAGGGATACTAAGAAACCTAGACAGACTGCAGAGTGTTCTTACACTCAGGTCTTACACTCAGGTCTTACACTCAGGTCTTACACTCAGGTCTTACACTCAGCCAAACAGCCCATCCCCCACCCTCCATAACCAAACGGCAGCTTTTACAGATCTGAAACCTAAATTGTCACCTAAACTTTCATGCTGAAACTGGACATTTTCAGGACAGTTTAAATCCAAAAAAAAAATTGCATTGCGAATTTAGGCTAGTCGAAGTGCTGCTGAAGTTCGACTGAACTCGTAAAGAGGTGAAATTCAATTGTGTCAATGCTCATCATATACGTGGGGCAAAACTAACAGGATATAGGCAGTAAACCGGCTCTGGGGGTGAAAGTGAGACTTTGGAACAAGAAGTGCATTTTGGGAAATCTCGTGATGCCAGGCAGCTTTCTGCTAGATGAACTTGCCGTGGGCCAAATGAAACTGGCGAATAATGTGCCCGATTTGCAGTGGCTTGAGTGGCTATTTACAGAGTCCTTAGGGCTGCTTGTCCTGTGTCACCATTCCCAGGAGTTCAGCTAGACATACAGATGTCTAAATGCTTGTATGTTACAGCTATCCTCTTCTTGTATTATACTCTGCTACGCTTTGCAAACCATAACAACTAGAGCAAACATCCTGATAAATCAAGGCCAGATTGTGTTTCCCGGGTTAGATACCATCTTTCAGGCAGTGTGCCAAGTAAGGAACACAGCATCAGACACTGACTGAGGCTAGGAGACTGACTTCCGAAGGGAAATCGGAATAGATGCAGCCAATGAGGAGGGAATGGGCGTGGCCTAGCCATCATGCTTTCTTACACTGGTTCCTAGCTTTTTCTCAGGGTGTGGGGTGGACTGGACAGGGCCTACCTGCCGTTGAGCTGTATCCGGTCAGCCAGTTTGGACAGCTGGTCAGGCAGCCTCCTCTGCTTAATGACGCCCTCCGGGCTGACGGACACCTCGCACAGGGAGAAGGTGTCGGACATCTGGAGGAGGCCGAGCTCGGCAACCGCATGGGACACGACTTCCTTGGCCGTGGTGTCTTTGCTGATGATGATGTAACAACTCTGCTGGTCCGACTTGAACACACGGATCACCTGGTCTGGAGCATCTTTTTTCAGGACAATAAAACAATATTGGTTTTAAAAAAGGCTGATTGTTGAATAGCATAAAAACATTCAATTGTAACACTTGTACGAAGAATCAAGCAACGCAAAGTTAAGATATCATCATCTGTACGGCAACTCATAGGACAGCGTGTCATTATGATGTAACCAGCGGTAACCTGAGGGACGCCCTGAACTGACAACAGTTTTATCAGAGCTCCTGACAAAGTGACCACACTTTGATGGCCTCCAGTTCCGGGCGATGCAAACATACAGAACGGGAAATCCTATAAACACTGAAACAACTACTGACCTTTTCATAAAAGCAGTTTACAGAAAGGAAATAGAGAATCATTCTCTACAAATACTACGTTTGCGTCATTTTAATTAGTCCAAACGGCCTGCTTCGTTCGGCCAGAAAGTTCTCATAGCCAGGAAACAAAACTGAAAACAGACCTCGAAAACAACACAGGGATATCATTCTGAAACTAAAATCTACTGCAGTCATTATATAGACGAATTACATAGATTATATAGACGAATGTCTAAAGAAAACAGTGGTAAGTTTATTCTGCAGCCAAAATAAGAAATCCTTCAGGGAAAAGAAACATGCTTTATTCCAGCCAAATTAGGGTTTAAAATCGTGTGTGTACTGTACTTACAGTAAAATCCTACGGCTGTGTCAGCATCAAGAGAAGGAGAGACACATGACTGAACACACACATAATGGATATACATAGTCTGCCATCATCTAAAAACCCGAACGACTAACTGGCAAAGATCAGTAATACTTTTTCTTTCTTTCTTTAGAACCACATATCACGAAGAAATGTGTGAGCCGCATAGCCCAAACCCCACTTAATGGCTGGTTCACGAGTCACAAATGGATGAGGAAAACGTTTGGTAATTAACATTAAATGAACTTTGGGATAGGCTCTCTTTCCGGGAAAGAATACATTCCCCTTAAGGTCATTTATATTTATGTAAACTTCTGTAAGTATTAGCAGCTGTGCTAGCATTCTTCTAAAGCACTGTTTACCTAAAAAGCTTATCTTGAAAGCACGCAGAGCAGTGTTGCTTTAGCAGCAGTGCATTGTGGGAGAATGGGGTGTTGTTGACCTCTCACCTGTAGCGGTAGAGTAGTCGAGCACGCTGGAGACCGGCTGTAGCAGGTCCGGACTGCTGGAGGACAGCGCTCCGGGGACAGGCATGATGGCCACGCTGTGCCGACACTGCTTGGTGCCCACGATGCTGTCGTCCTGGCACTGGATCACGCCGCCATCACTGGCACACAGAGGGCACGGTCACAAGAGGAGCGCCAACCATTCCCAGATCATCAGATCATCATCTCTCCAAAATGGAACGGTGCTCTTTATAGCTTAACCGTCTCAGAAATGTTCTAGATGCCGTTGCAGAATTCTGGGACAGGTAATTCCAAATCCACACCCACGTTTCCACAAAACACACCAACTAGCCTTCAAGCTAAGCTCTGCTTGACTACCTGACAGCCTGAATGCTTACTGAACTTGTTTCTCATCCCAGTATGACACAGTTACCCAGTTCAGTGATGCAACCCACATCCATAAAGAGAACGGTGCTCGAGTAAAACTACAGAACGAGAACTCTGATAATTTAGCATGAACTGCTGCGTGAAATATGACAGAAACTATTTACAGATAGAAACAATCTGACAAGCTGACGACAACCATGGGAAATGGTGCAGCTTAGTGCGAGAATGGGGGCAAACATGCAGTCACATGTCAGTGTCACGCCATAAACTGAAGCCCAACAAATCCAGCCAAGAGTGCCAGGGTTCAGCTTTTCCCTCAGCAGATGGGGAGGCCCGCCACGGCCGCATGAGGACTCTCCCCCAGCAGATCTGAGCCGACGTTGTGATGTACGGCACGCTCACTCTAGTACTGCTCACTTCAAAGCCCAAACGTGGACCTTTAATCTCCCCCAATCCCGTGTAATCAACAGGCAGGTTCAACGACTGAAGTCAAATGACGGCGGAGTCCTCTATGCCTCTCAAACTGTCATCAAACTGTACGGCCACTCCTGCGTCGACGGCCATGTTTCCAGGAACATAAATGTATTTTTATTTCATGGATCTTTTCTTTGTCCAAATCAAAACTTAAAACGTGAATGATTCAGTCAGTTTGTGGCTGCGGGTCATGGTATTTTCGACACGCTATCATCCAGTAAACTAAGATGTATTGTCTATGATGTATTTAAAGAAGGTGACCAGTTTCAATCTAGCAGGACTGAATGATGTGTTAATTTAACACACAAAACACTATAAGGTGTACCCAAAGCATCAATGGATACCTGACTTCCTGTTGTATGATAGCTGCTGACAGACATTTTAAAAACCACAACTAAATATATAAACACGCTAAAGAAAAAGTATGCTTATTTTCCTTATTCGTTAGCCAAGGTTGTAACGTGCCACACCTTGTGACGAAGAATTATTAAGGGAGAGTTACAGTAGGCAGTGCATTCCTGCGTTAAAAGGACACCTAGTAAACTAAAGGATTAGAGGATCGTATCCATTGTTGTAGGTTTAACACATAGCTCACTACGTCTCCACCCTACTTAATTGATTTTTAAGAAAACTACCTGTAGATGTGACACGCATCTCAAAATTAAAATCGTTCTGTGCAGAGTAATACATGTTTACACTCCTTAACATGGTGAGACCCATGAAATAATCAGTTTCAATACTCTCACTGCAGTATAACAAGTGTCCTCAGAAGATACTCAGTGACCTTAAAACTGCCCAGTCCAACACTGTCTGTTCCTATTTTGATTTCAGCCTTATAAGGAAATACGAAGCGGTTTCAGTCCAAATTAGGGTAAATCAGGGAAGTGTCTTACCCAAAGAGTCCTCTGCTCGCGTGAGGCAGTTACGGAGAGAGACAACAGTGAGGAGCAAGGTCAGAGAGACAGCCAGAGACAGGTGGACACGGCACATGACAAATCAAACATAAGTCACCACGTCTCACAACATGACGTGCTTCTATTTTTTTTTTTTTTAATACACCCGCTTTTAGAAATGTGCAGAGAATGGCTGTAAACAAGACGGGGAAGAACAATAGATCTACCAGCACAATGAAAAATTAATAAATTAAGGAAAATGAGCGATGCAGCGTGAGATGCATGCGCTGCAGTGAATGCGTCACACATCTGGCAGATGGGCTGGTGCACTGCAGCCCCACTTCATGCATAAGCAATGCGATGAATGAGCGGCAGGTAAGTTGTCAGCAATTTGTTAGCTATATTTATAGTATCACAGAGGAAAGATGGGCGCTTGGAAAAACTGATCAGAAGGACCGGACAGCCTGAGCAGTGTTCAGGGAGCAGAGATTATGATCGGAATGTCAGCCTGTGTTTACGTCGCGACTGCCACTGAACGTGGTGTCGGAGTGCCCGGAACGTGAACGAGCGACAAGCGGCAAAACTGTAAACAAAAGCCTGTGAGATGGTGAGATGGTGAGATGAAGGTTGAGAGCTGGGATCCCAGCTGACGAACCGGCTGAAATTAACCACCCCATCCATGGCAGGGAAGCCAGCGAGGACGGCGGCCGCCTTAACACCATCTGAGAGCGACAAAGCATCTGCGGCCGCCTGTCATCTCCGGCGACGCCTGAGCCTCAGATACAGACGTGTGTTTAATCCAAAACGCCGTGCAAAAGGGCTGGTCTGAGGCACAGACTGAAGCAGCCCTGAACGGAAGCGGAGCAGGGGGGCGAGAGGACGCGGCCGGGGACGAGGACGATGACAGAGTATGCCTGAACAGAACCTGCGTGCGAGCCAGATGCATTCTGGGTACCTGAAGGGCTTGGGCGGCAGTATGCTGAAGCGCGTCTTGTCGAGAATCTTCCGGATCTTGTTGCGGCCCCCGGAAACGGTGTTGGCCTTCATCTTCTTGTGGCTCTTGTCGGTGGGGAACTCCAGGTCGCCGGGCAGGTCCGGGATGGAGAAGCGGTTGCTCTTCTTCTCCTGGATCTTGGGCACATGGGGGCTGCCATTTTTCTTCTCGTGCTGGACCCTGCCCATCAGCTCTTTGAAGACTTGGGGGGGGCGGGGGGGGGGCGGGGTATGTAACATCACAGAGAACTGCATCTCCTCTTACACACACAATGTGTGTCACTCCTTCAGCTTCTATAGCTGAGATATCTTCTCTCCAAGTCTGAAAGCCAGCTAGCTTTGAACCCTCAAATCTTGGCCGACCCACAGTCATTTCTTACAAAACATGATTTGTGCTAAAACGGAACTAATCCAATGGCTGGGGTTTTTCTCCCACAAGACGTTTCAGAACCTCAGCGGAATAACAACAAAATAGTAAAGCTATGCATTTATTAAAGGGAACGAACAGCTTATAAAAGCTTCCGGAAGCAGTGACTATTCTGGGAACTCATGTCAGAAGACACATTTGCTTAATTACCTGTTACATTCTAAAATCCTAAGTGCATAGGCGATATGTTTTTATTTTTTAAACTGGCAAACAGAAAGCTAAAGGGTAAAATCTCAGAAACGTCCACGTGTGTCAGTGTTTCTGTAGGTGCAAGCCAGTCCCCCCCCTTACCAAATATGTTCGTCTTGACGGTGAGAGACAGGTGCGTGTTGTTCCTCAGGATGTCCATGGCTTTGGCGTAGGTGATGTTCTCAAAATTCTGCCCGTTTATCTCCATTATCTGTAAGAGGAAGCTTGCCTTAGACGGCATGCGTAGTAAAGCGGAACCCTGACAGGGAGCCTGACACCTCCTGGCCGGAGGTCATTACTGCACGTTGCCACATCAGGCCGAGTCGCCTCGACTCTCTGCTTCATACCCGCCATCACCAAGCGCATTAACCAGCCGCACTCACAGGTAGGTACGCACGCAAGTTACAGCCTTAATTTCTGCAGGCTCTCGCTGGAGAGCACCCATGAAAAGCACCTCCATGCAATGTGGAACCTTCTCTAAAGATCATGGCCCAATCCGGCAGCAGCTACAGTAAGAATTTGAAGTCAATAAATCAACAATAAATGAATACGATGCAGCATTCCTGGCCGACCTGGTCGGCAAAAGGTCAGTGTTTCATGATGCCCACACACACACACCCATCCATCCAAGCCTCAGCGGAGGGAGACCAACAGGTCTGCCTCTCCCAGGGGGCACACTGGCACAATCATGTCGGCTTGCGAGTCAGACGCTGCGTCACCTGGCACAAATAAGCTCTACATTCTATATTATTTGCTGCCTGCCTTTATATTTACATAATATATAGCACTGAAATTTAAATATTACATTAATTTATGGAGGCACTTTCATCCAAAGAGACATACGAATGAGAAAGCAGAATCAGCCAGATCACGTTTAAGATCCTTGCTCAACAGTGAAATCACTCATCAACCCTGGGATTTGAACCGGCGACCTACTGAGGCACACGCCCCCACATCACATGGCGGACGCCCCCGTTCTTGGACCAAATTGGCCTCCTACCTGGTCCCCCCGCTTGAGGCCGGCCTCGGCCGCCTTGCTGCCCTTCTCCACCTCGTCCACGAAGACGCCGAAGCCGCGCTCGCTGCCGCCCTGCAGGCTGAAGTGCAGGGGCGACTCCCGGGAAGGCTTCAGCAGAGTCGCCTGCCGCCACTTGGCCTTGGCGGCGCAGGCGATGTTCAGCAGCCTCAGGTGGCCCTTCATCTTCTGCTGGAGGGGGAAGAGGAGCCACCCGTCACCACGGTTATCAACGGTCTGACGCGGCGCTGGCGGGAGGTGCGGAAGGTAACCCATACTGCTGTCTCCAGGAGCCTTTCGAAGTCCTCCAGGAACTGCGTCATCTCCGGGTTCCCTTCAAAGTCGTTGAAATGATTGTTCACCCAGAGGAGCACGACCCGTGTGACCTGCAGGGGGCGGCATAGAGCATGTTCAGCCTACCTTAGCTGAGGCTCTCCAAATGCATATTTTATCCGAGAGACAGTCTAAACTGTACCTAAAAAGCACGCAGTTCCAGACTTCACTCTCACCGGTTACTCCATTTTTTATTTATTCCGACACGCCAAATAAATTCCAGCTATCAACATGCTAGTGGAGCAGTTCCAGGAATTTCAGCAGCTAAAAAGCGTTTCGTCGCACTTGACAAAGAAGGAAGCGAATGAGTTCTACGCGTTTGCACCAGTACGAACAGACAGAAAGACAGCTACTAAATCTGAAGGTCACAAACACAAGACAGCACAAGTTATTCACTATTTGCTAAAGTTCAGGTCTAGAAAGTTAAAATCCAGACCAAGATTTTATTTCAACCAACCAGTATAAAGAGTCACAGTCACAGAGTACTCAACTTGTTGGTTGAAACAAAACCTGGATTTTTACTTTCGGGACCTGAACCGCCCACCTCTATTACTGAGCTTGTTTCTGCACAGAGAGCGAGCCAATGGCTGGCTCGAGGTCTGCGATGGGCACCTTGTCTCGGAGGCTGTCCGCGTTGAACCACTCCAGCAGCTTCCTGCCGACCTCCATGGGGCTGGACAGGAAGGTGCGGTAGGTGAGCAGGAAGTCCTCTATGTACGTGGGGTCCACCACCGAGTGCTCCTCCACTAGGTGCATAATCAATCGCTCGGGAGTGCCCTAAGGACGAGTGAGTGACACAAACATGCAAATCTGATAAATACAAACCCTTCACCTTATGGGGTAAGTGAAGCCATATTAAGCCATATAGCAGAAGTTGCCTAATGGATTAGAGGCGAAAGACCACAGTATCGCTGACTGAAAAAGAAGCACTTTTTCCTTTATAGAGCCTCCCTCCAGAACGGTACCATGCTGTAATGTAAATGACTACGCGGTTCGCGATTTGGCACGCGGGTCCTTTTGATGCGACAGCAGCATTTACTTTGCACTGAACGAGCACATGCAGAAAACATGAAGGCCGCGTGATCAGAGGAACCCAGGAAGGCACAGTTTCAAATCCTCTGGAGGGTCTAACGCGTCCCTTAGTCGAGAGAGTGGAGCTCCGAAAACAGAAGTGAACCCTGCAGAACCTTCATTACGGTTTAAAAATACAAGCACATTTAACACAGCAGCATCAAAATGCATTTAGCAAGAACAGAACACCACAACCAAAAATTAGCTCTCTCAAAGAAAGGGACTTTGAAAGGAGATTCCATTACATTTTGCTTCTTTTACGGACGCTTTTTATCCAAAGCGAAACATTTTTGAGAAAGCAACCCGACCCTGGAGCAGCTAAGGTCCTTGCTCAGGGGCCAATGGTGACATTGGCAAGGGATCTGATCCAGCGACCTTCTGATCACAGCCACAGCATCCTAACCTGCTGCCCGCACCCCCCCCGCCCTCACCTTGATAACGATGTGGCCCTTTCTGGTGCCGCTGCGGTCCAGCTCCCGATGCTCCTTCACCATGACGATCTCGCCCTCCTCCTCCACCTTGTGTGTGTTCTTCTCCACATGGTTCAGGATTCGCCAGTAGTCCTCCTGGGCGATGCACACGAACTGGCCCAAAATGACATGGGGACACTTGGTGAACTTGGAGTAGAGCAGCCGGTTGCCGCGCACCAAGTACGGGTACTCCCAGAAGGGCAGGGCTGAGTCATGGCTGCGAGGCATGGGAAGGGCCGAGACGGAGTCCCCGCACTGCTGCCGGCTCAGACTCCCCGCTGCCTCCGCTCACGCCTCGAGCGTATCGCCGGCTGTCGACCGCGCGCCAGGCGCCTCAGCCATAAACGAGGCCCTGAATCCGAGCAGAAGCCCTGTCAAGAATCGAGGTGCGATCCAAGCAGCCTCAGGCAGACGAGCCTCGCCACCGGTCCATCCAGCGCTGCTGATGTTTTCAAGTAAAGCGCATTTAGTCTGACGCGCTCTATATTAAGGATCGGTTCCTGTTTCACACAAAGGCGCCTCAACAATTAACCCTGCCTCTACTTGAAAAACCTGGCTACTGCAGCAAAAGAACCAAAACGGTTACTTAACCGCGGCTATTTTGTATTTGCTGTGTTGCAACGTTTTCCCCCCCCTCAAACATTCTTGCATACTTTTCTACACTAATCAGGTCACTGACCTAGGAAAAGATTAGGGGAAAAAGACTCATTACAGAGAAGCATTTTTACCATAATGTTTCAGCCACACAGAGTCCCGTTAACCAGGGTTAGATTTATTCAATTAGGAGATAAGATGTTGGAAACACTGGCTCAACCCCACCAACCAATCATAGCTGGGGTGATCACAGAGCCCATTCCAGGAAGCACAGGGCACGAGGCAGGGGACACCCCAGACTGGACACCAGTCCATCACAGGGCACGAGGCAGGGGACACCCCAGACTGGACACCAGTCCATCACAGGGCAGACAGCAGGGGACACCCCAGACTGGACACCAGTCCATCACAGGGCAGACAGCAGGGGACACCCCAGACTGGACACCAGTCCATCACAGGACACACACTCACAATAACATGTTACATGCAGTTTCTCTTAAAGCATTTATTTTATTTTAAAGGGACTTTACCTGGCAGTCGTCGCCTTTGCTGCGCACCTCGCCGTGCATGTACTGCTTGTCCAGCGAAGGCGAGATCCCGAAGCTGTTGCCCATGCACAGGGTCTCGGCCCTGCCGTCCGGGTGGCCCACCTCCACCGAGCCGTTGAGAATCACGTACCACATGTCCAGCTGGCCACACAGGGGACAGCACTCAGCACCAGACAGCACCATCCACCGGCCAGTTAAAGAAGCATTTTCCACACAACCTTGAGACATAAATAATGTACTCTATAGCTTCCTAAAGGGTAATCAGTACAGGGGTGCTTGGGGGGGGGGGGGGCATGTACCCAAAATATTTAATTTGGCTTCATTCATCCCCCTAAGAAACTGACCTCTGCATTTCAATTAAGCTATATCACCCCCAACATGAAGCTCTCCTACACCATGGAGCCAGACCATAGTGATAAAAGAAATGTTCGTCTCGGGGACCTTGAAGGTGTCAATAATACAAACAGATCGAAATGGCAGCGGCTAACGAGGCGGGAACATGGGGGGGATGAGGAAATGTGAGGGGGCGGCGGTGGCCCTGCCAGCCTGGCTGCGGGGCCAACGGGGCCTGGAGGGCCAACGCGTCACAGTGCGGCTTCCAGAAGCAGCTGTTGGTGTGAACAGGGGCGTCCATCTGGCTTTTCGCTCTACTAGTCAGCCAATGCTGATGCTAATATTCTTGGACCCCACCCATAAGCAGAAACGACCCCTATCTAGGGTGGGGGTTTGAGCTGAGCCCCAGTGAGGAAGGGTGTTCTACCTCGCGCTCTGGAGGTCTTACCTCTTGCCGGTCATGCAGGATGACTGTCCCGGCACGTTCCACCACCTCGAAGACCATGACGGTGCAGAGTTCCCTCCTGACGGACATGGTCATGTTGGCGAAGGCCGGGAACTGGTGCATGAACTCCAGCAGCTGCTCTGCAAGGTCAAAGCCAGGGGAGGGGTGAGCAGATAACTACTATCCCAATGTACGGGGCTACATAAATGAAATAACCAAACAAATCATTTTAGACCAGAGGTTCCCAATCTGGTCCACAGGGAACCATAGGTGGTCCACGTTTTTGCTCCATTCTAGCTCCTGGTAGAAGGGAGCAAAAATGTAGATCGTCTAACAGGGAGCTCATAGGGAGCAAAAACATGGACTGATTATGGGTCCCCGAGGACCGGATTGGGAAACACTGCTTCAGCCAATCTCCTTTTAGGTGTATAATGCCCCCATACAGCAGGCTGGTCTTGTAAGGCAGGGGATTCAGACCAGATTGGCGGGGGGCTGTGGATTGTTTCCCCTACAGCAAGCCTGCGACAGACAGATCCAGCCTCAATAATTAAAGGGATGGGCTGAGAGTCAGCACGTTTCCCACTGTCCTTTATGCCTTTGAGAAGCTGCAGACTGACAAACCGGCACCAGCAAAGCCTTCCATAAACAAAACAAAATTCGGCACCGCCCGTTTGCGGAGAAGCCGGCCTTGCTCACCTATGTCGTCATCATTCCTGTCCGCCGGTTCCTTCTCCAAACACTCCCTGACGAGGTCCCGGCCGAGCAGCCCATCTGTGGTCCTCTCTAGGTCCTCATCTTCCTCCTCCTCTTCCTCGGAGTCCACCGGGGCCTCCGGGAGCCCCGACAGGTCCACATCACCGAGGTCGCTCTCTGTGGCCTGGCGATTCAGGAAGAAGGAATCCATTTCTCAATGACTAAGTACTTTTATTCCAACCACTCATTTAAACTGCCCCGTTTTAATTGTTGCTGGATCCTGCGGTAGTTTAACTCCAGCCTATGGCTTTTACCAACTCCCTTTCTCTCCTGGCCATTACATGTAGATCACTGCAGCTGGGTAATCAAAGAACTGCAATACGCGCCACTCCAAAGTCCTGCATAAAAGAGCACTGGCAAATTAAAATGTGCAGTGACTGTCTAATTGCCCTGCCCAAGCTATTCTTTTATCAAGGAGGGAGCCAACTTACTGTAGACTAATTAAGAGAGAGAGACAGGAATTCCAAAATAAAAAATAAAAAAAATAAAAAAGTTTATTCCTGATCAAAATGACTAAAACAAGTTAATTAGGATGCCGACTTGCATTACGTCCAATTTGCATAATTACTAAGCGACATCAATGTTGTATTAATTACACGCGCAAGTGAATAGTTGCATAGTTTCGTCACACAGATGTGCTTGTTTTGTGTTTCAAATCGAACCCCCCCGACACACAAAATCCACAAAGAGTATGTGTGTGTGTGCGCGCGCGTGTGTGTGTGTGTGTGTGTGTGTGTGAGTGAGTGTGTGTGTGTGTGTGTGTGTGTGTGAGTGAGAGAGAGAGAGAGAGAGAGAGAGAGATGACAGCAGAGCTATTTTCCTGGTGGAACAAACCAGTAGCGTGCAAACGGTGGATCTAGGCCCTGCATAAGAGCAAACCCCCAGCAGGGGGGGCCAATCCCGTCATACGCAAGTACTCTTCTGTGGTTTTTTTTAATTATTAGGTAGGATGTTGAATTTTTTTAAAATCATACAACGAAAATTGCTTTGGATGAAAGCAACTGCTCAGGTATTCGTGGAGATTTAAGTGGAGTTAATAAGGAAGTGGGTAAAACGCTGAGGGCACTGGCAGAACAGTAAGAGGAATCAGCTGCTCCGTGCAGCGCAGAGGTTCGAGGAGGCCGATCGACACGGCTGCCAGGCTCGCAGCTCCTCCGTCTGGCCCTTTAAGGCCCCCCCGGTGAAAGCGGTTAACGTATGAAATTCACCTATCCAGAGCGGCTTCTGGCCGAGCCCGGCGGAAGCACGGCCGGCCCTAAATCACGGCGGTAATTGTGCCCGACTGAAGGCCACGGGATCAGTGTCTAGCCCATTATTTTGTGAGCGTGTCCTGTAGCCAGGACCAGAAGTCCC